TGCTCAGTGCATGTGTGCATGGGTGTCTGCACGCGTGCACGCTGGGGCCCCTCCACACGGAAGTGGGAGCCAGACAGCCCCTCGTGCGTGGGTACCCACGGCTGTCTACCTCTCTGATCCGTGCCCTTCCCGCAGGCTCGCCCCTCCCCGCCCGGCGTCATTCCTTCCACTACTCTGCCTGGACGTGGTTTCCATGGTGTTCTTCTGATAAAAACTGGAATTCAAAGCATAATTGCAGGGAGTGGTGGGGAAGGTGGGGGAGGGGAGCGCTCTGGAGCAGGAAGCTCCTGTTGGTTTTTCTCCCTTCAAATGTATTTAAAACGCAGAGCCTGTTGCCTAGCGACGGCAAGGGAGCCACTGGTCTCTTCTGTCCACGCACAAGGGCAGCTCAGGAGACCTCTGGGTGGCAGGTGCTCAGCCCGGGCTCCCGCTTCATGGGGCTGGGACTGATGGGTGGCTAGGCCACGGCGGCCCCCCCGCTGTGCCCACACCGCACTCTTGGTGACTGGTCTGGAATTTCACTGTGAGCGCCATTCCTTTGATGCTCTTGTCACCATGCCTTGTGGAGTAGCGGGCCAGCTAGGGCCACGGCCCCACACCTGTGAGTGCACGGAGGCCCAGGGGCTTCGCGCAGCGAGGGAGCCTCACAGCCGTGCCTCCGTGCCGAAGCAAGAGAGGCTGGAGGAGCGCCTTGCCACGGGGTGAACGGACAAATGAAGGGGAGGGTGGGACAGCTGAGGCAGCAACCGAGTCTGAGCCCTGGAGCAGGTGTGCGGGGCACGGATTCCAGGGGCCAGGACCAGCGCTTGCACAGGAGCTGCTGGGCGGGCCTTTGGCGGGGTCTAGGTGGTTCTGCTGCTGACCACCTCCTGACCCCTGGGGACACGGAAGGACAGGCAGCCACCAGGCACCAGCCACGGGACCACCTCCCTGCCCCATAGAAGGGGCTTTGGGCTTCAGATAGGACCCTGCTGCTGTGCTGCAGGAGCAGAGGGCGGAGCAGGGGCAGGAACGGGGTGAAGCCAGACACAATGCAGAAGGTGTCTCCTGGGGCAGGTCCCCTCTGCCTGCCTGCAGGAAGCCAGGCAAGGTGGCCGTGGTGCCGATGACTCTGGTGCATGTGTGGCACATGGCCACACATGTGCAAGACTCCTCACACCAGCAAATACATAAGTGGACGGGGTTCATGCCCCCAGAGTACACTGCTCCCCCAGTCCTCCCCCCAGAACTGCCAGAACAGCCCCGGCCTCTTCGCCTCCTCCTGCAGTCGGAGCTAGGAGAGGACAGGGTGGTCAGGTGTAGGCGACTCCTCAGCCTGGCACAACTGTGTGGGAAGGAAGGCAGGTCTCAGCAGAGGCCACAGGATTAGGGTTAGGGCCGTTCGATCAGGGGACTTGGTGAGTCTGGGCACTGCAGGGCATGGAGTGAGATGCTCATGAGGCGGCGTGGCCAGAGTAGCCAAGAGGACAAAGGGCAGGCCGGGGACAAGGCAGCGGCAGGAGGGTTCCCATCGGCCTCGAGTCTCCTCTTGTCTCTCCCGATGGCGGGGACAAGCGAGTGCTGCCATGGTGCTCTCCCCAGCTGCTTCTCCGTTCCCACTGCGCCCTGCGGCCGGAGGCTCCTTGGGGTCACGCTCAGAGTTCTCCTTCCTTCAGAATAGTGCCCTTCCCCCGGCCTTGGACAGACTTCTTTCAGGAGAACAAAATTTTATTTTACACATTTTGTTTTCAAAGTGTTAGGCCCTGTGCCTGCTAAGCAAGTGCTCTACTGCTGAGGTATACCCTCGGCCCCAGTGAGTTTATTCTTAAAAATTTAGCCAGAATCTAAAAACACTCCTGGGTCGACTGCCCATAGAGAGGTTTCTGCCCAAAGCAAGCACACAGCGGTGATGGTGGGGACGGAGGGATGGAGGGGGCCCAGGGAGGTGCAAGGTGCAACGCTGCATGTTGGGTGGAGGGGGAGCGGACCGCCCACTGCGGCAGCCCCAGCTGAGTGAGTGAAGAGTGGGCGGTGAGCGAATGAGAGAAAAGGCGGATGCTCCGAGGCCCTCAGCATGAGAGTCCAGTCACGGGTCACAGCTCCTTTATTGAGAGACAGAAGGGTTTGCGCTCTGGTTGCAGCGTCGGGGTGGTGCGCGTGGAGGGGCATGGGAGGCGCCTGAGGGGCTCTGCCAGCCCGTCTGAGGGCATGGGACTCTGCGCTCCCTGGGGCGTGAGCTCTTGGCACACAGGGCTAAGCTTTCAGAGTCCAGTGGGAGGGGCCTGCCTAGGATCAGGTCAGGGCCAAGGCGTCCCTCTCTACATCCCGCACATGGATACAAGCATAAGGAGCGTGGGGAGGATGTGTGGCTGCAGCTCACTCCTGCTGCAAACCCACGCAGTCAGCACTGGCGGCCCACGCGGTGTGGTCCCAGGGGGTCAGCTCTGCCCCCTCCAGGTTTGTCCCTTCTGTCCATTCCAGGCCACATCCTCCAGGACAGCCCTGGCCGGTCAAGTGGGTAGAATGGCTGTGCTTGTGTCTTAGATGGGGAAACTGAGGCTAGGAGGGATGGGGCACCTGCTGAGCGTGGGAAGCCCAGGCAGGTGGGGTTGGGGCCCAAGGGTCTGGCCCCAAGTTCAGTGCAGCTTCAGCCTCTGCTGCCCACCTCCAGCTTCAGGCTGTGGATTTGCTGACATCTGAGTCTACTTTTTTTTGGAACCAGGGATTGAACTCAGGCCCTTGCGCTCGCCAGGGAAGCGCCTATTCCACTGAGCGTCTCTCCGGCCCCCGGAGTGTACTTCTTGAGCAGGGGCACTGCACTCACTCCTACAGCCCCTTTGAGGTCAAGGTCCTCCCTGGGGTCAGCAAATGGGCCTAGCTTGCTCTGGCCCTGTCCTGGTGACTTGAAGGGACTTTGTGGCTTCCAGTACCACACCAATTCATGGCAGGGTGACCAGACCAAGTGGCCACTTGTAACCTGGCCTCAGCTCAGCATGTTACAGTCCAGAGGGACAGAACCGCCTCAGACAGGACAGGGCTCTGTGTCCCAGGGCGGTGCTGTCCCTGCAGGCTGCCTGCCCGAGTGGGCCGTATGACCATACACAGCCTCCTCTGCAGGCCGGATCTGGCTTCTGGGTCCTTTCTGTTACTCCCACTCCATGGTCCCGCCCCTGCGTGGTCTCAGCAGGGAGCCTGCGCAGGTCCTGTCCTGTTTGGAGACAGCTCCTGGAGTCTGTGGAGGCGCCCGCTTTCCTGGCGCCTGGAGCTGGGGGCCAAGGCAGCTGCCTGGTGGCTGGTGACAAATGAGCCTATCCCAGCCTGGAGCGGCGGCCAGCCCAGGGCCTGGACACTTGATCCTGGCTTTTTACCTGCTCCAGCCCTAATCCCAGCACGGCCTACGTGACCCCTTCTCAGAGCCCCACCCCGGGGCCAGCTTGGCTGTGCTGTGGGAGCACACCGCCAGCCAGGTCACCTGGGCTGCAGGAGGAGGCGCTCTGCTCTGCCGCTCTGTAGGGCCAGGGTCCCAGTGCCCTCCTGCGTTGTGTTGTGTCTGTGCAGAGCCTCTGTGGTCTTGGCCTGGGTAAGGCCGGGTTGGGGCAGTGCAGGTCTGGCTCTCATGGGTTAGCCACTTTTGTCCTTTCTGCACAGATCAGAGCTTAGGTCCCCTCTGTGGGCCACAGACACCCCAGAATGAGGGGAGGAGGAGGGGTGCTCTCACTCTCAGCATGGGAGCTCTAGTGATCCTTGGATGCCCACGGGGAAGCATTTGGTGTGAGGCCCAGAGCTGCAGTGCCCAAGCCTGGGGCTGTGCTCTCCTGAGTTGGGTCAGAGGCAGGAGGTGGGTGCAGCCTGCAGCCCCCTCCCCCACGGTTGGAGCTGGGGAGGCAGGACAGCAAAAAGGGGCCACGGAGAGGCCTGCAGCCCGGCTGCCCAGGCCCAGCCCAGTGAATGCCTTTCCTTTTCTCTTTCTCTCTAAACATCCATTCATCTGGGAACAAAGAAAGCTGCTGTTCGCTGAGTGCAAATTCCCTTGTCCAAGGCCATCTGGGATCTAGGAAGGAACAGGCTCTGAGTTCTGGGCTTTAGAAGGGGAAGAGGAGGGGTGAAGGAAGAGGAGGGGCTGGGCCGAGGAAAAAGGAAGGGCCTCTAGCTGAGACGAGGTCAGGCCTGGGAGGCATCGGCTGGCAGCCCCATCGAGGGTCTGGATGGAGCTGCTGCCCTAGTGGTACATCTGTGGCCTTGCCGTGGGTCCTAGTACAGCGTCTCCCGGGTGGCACTGCTGGAGAAGCCGTGGTTGCTGGACACGCTGTTGGTCTTCCGGGAAAACGCCGGCCTCTTCCTCCTGCGTCGCCACGTAGGACAGAGGCAGGCCAGGGTGGACAGGAAGATCTGGCGGAAGTTGGCAGAGACGAGGTTGTACAGGATGGGGTTGATGGCAGAGCTGACATAGAAGAGTGTGTTGGTCAGCATGTAGAAGTAGTGGTAGAAGTCGTAGAGGAACCTAGGGCAGAGAGGCGGTCAGACCCGTGGTCCCGAGGCTCAGGGGCCCGCGCCAAGGACTTGGAGAGATGGCCTGGTGAGGCAGCACGATATCTCAGAACACCAAGACAACCTCTGGGAAATCTTCCCCATGGGGACATTTGACCATGAATCTCAGGGTGCACCTCTGCCCTCCTGCCCACTTGGACTGGGCCTCTTGGGAGGGTTTCCTCTGCTCTGCCTGCCCCCGCCACTCCTGCAGCCCATCTCGCAGAACCCCAGTGTCTGCACAGCTATCTCCCACCTCCTCGCCTCTTCCCTGTGTGCTGTCCCCTTTCTTTTGGTTTTTCCTGGGTGGCTCTGCTGCATCCTGGAGTCCCGCTGGGGGTAGCCATGACCCTGAGGCTGACACATGTGAGGAGCCGCCAAGGCCCAGCGCAATGACCTGGCTCTCAGATCTGCTGTGTTTGCCCTACTTGGCTCTCCCTGGCCTTGCACTGTGCCACACCTACAGACTCCAGGCTCAGCACACTGGTCCAGGCGTCCCCGCCACCCTGCCAGCCTCCATGCACCTGTCCTGGGGCCCCTGCCCAGGGACCAAGTACTCACGGGGTCCACTGCTCATCTGCGATGTAGCAGAACATGAGGCGGCGCACATGGTAGGGCAGCCAGCAGACCACGAAGGCAATGACCACAGCACCTGAAGAGCAGGGAGATGGGGCTCAGAGAGACACAGGCCTCAGAAACAGGCATGAACCTCAAAGACAGAGACTGATGTGGGCCTCACAGACAGGGACATGGAGCTCACAGACATGGACATGGAGCTCACAGACATGGATGTGGAGCTCACAGACACGGACATGGGCCTCACAGACACGG